CGTTAAGATATCTCCACGTTGACAATGAGTATCTGATTGAAGTCGTGTTTCAGATAATACACTATTAGAATAATATCCGATCTTACAGCTGCAATAGTAGTTATTATTATATATGAGACAGCTTGCTTTGGTATCGCAGTTATTATTTCCATAGCAGGTAACAATCGGAGTACAAGAGATACCATTTCCGTAATAGCCAGATTTACAACGACAACGGAATGATCCAAGAGTATTAATACATTGAGCGTTAGTGTGACAGTTATCTAGATTATTTGAACATTCGTCTATATCTGTACAAGATATTAATCCGTTTCCAGAGAATCCAGTATTACATAGACAGTCGTATGATCCGTTCGTATTAACGCAGCTCGAGTTATTACTACACACATTCAGGTTATTAGTAATACATTCGTCGATATCTTGACAAGTGATGCCGTTACCTTTGTAACCGTTATTACAAGTACACATATACGATCCAATAGTATTATTACAGTTTGCGTAGATAGAACAGCTGTAAGTTTCTGTTGTACACTCGTTAATATCGTTGCAAGATATTCCGTTACCCGAAAATCCTATGTTGCATTGACAAGTATAAGATCCAATCGTGTTATTACAATAAGCGTGGATTGAACATCGATGTACTTCTGATAGACATTCATCGACATCGTTACACGTTCTACCATCGCCTACATATCCGTTATTACATTGGCACGTATAAGATCCGACTGAGTTAATACATTGAGCGTTAGTGTGACAGTTATCTAGATTATTTGAACATTCGTCTATATCTGTACAAGATATTAATCCGTTTCCAGAGAATCCAGTATTACATAGACAGTCGTACGATCCGTTCGTATTAACGCAGTTCGAGTTATTACTACACACATTCAGGTTATTAGTAATACATTCGTCGATATCTTGACAAGTGATGCCGTTACCTTTGTAACCGTTATTACAAGTACACATATACGATCCAATAGTGTTATTACAGTTTGCGTAGATAGAACAGCTGTAAGTTTCTGTTGTACACTCGTTAATATCGTTGCAAGATATTCCGTTACCCGAAAATCCTATGTTGCATTGACAAGTATAAGATCCAATCGTGTTATTACAATAAGCGTGGATTGAACATCGATTTAATTCTGATAGACATTCATCGACATCGTTACACGTTCTACCATCGCCTACATATCCGTTATTACATTGGCACGTATAAGATCCGACTGAGTTAATACATTGAGCGTTAGTGTGACAGTTATCTAGATTATTTGAACATTCGTCTATATCTGTACAAGATATTAATCCGTTTCCAGAGAATCCAGTATTACATAGACAGTCGTATGATCCGTTCGTATTAACGCAGTTCGAGTTATTACTACACACATTCAGGTTATTAGTAATACATTCGTCGATATCTTGACAAGTGATGCCGTTACCTTTGTAACCGTTATTACAAGTACACATATACGATCCAATAGTGTTATTACAGTTTGCGTAGATAGAACAGCTGTAAGTTTCTGTTGTACACTCGTTAATATCGTTGCAAGATATTCCGTTACCCGAAAATCCTATGTTGCATTGACAAGTATAAGATCCGATCGTGTTATTACAATAAGCGTGGATTGAACATCGATGA